GAACATACAAGAAATCTGCAGCATTTTTTATATGAATTATGCAAAAATATTTCACAAAGACTAATTTTGTTTTCAGCTTAGCATTTTTGATTTCTACTGAAAAGTTGGGCTTTTTTGCTAATTTATTACATCATAAGTGAACATGCTATTTAAGAACATCCTTTAAAGAATTTTAATGGATTTTTGCTGATGTATGCACAGTGTGGGCATAAATTTGTCTGTTTTGTGTGCTGAAGATTGTAAAAATAATTCAGTGGTAAAGATACATGTGCTGGGTAATTAAAATGCTGGCATGTAAAGCAGAAATTTAGCAAAAGAATGACTGAACTGTTACAGCAATATTTCATAAAGTTTCACAGCCAACTTTCCTTAAAGAAATATATTCTGTGATCTTGACATGTAGGATATGTATGTAAGTGTATATTATATACACACCAGAAAAGAATTTTGTGTATCTGAATCAGAAGATCTAGCTCGCATATAGTTCGTATATTCTGCATTGTCTGGTGATGATTTACAGAGCAAAAGCTCCTTTGGAGCCTTGTGTTCATCTTTTCCCCTAGCAAAGTAAGGTCCTGAGCATAGGCAGGACTCTTTAAAGCACTAAGCTGTCAAACTTACAAAAAAAATAATAATCTAATCAATCAAGCTCAATTTGTGATAAAGGGCTTGGAACTAAAAGGAATTGGTCAAGTAGCAGACTTCCTTCCTCTCCATTTCCAGATAGCCAAAAATATTACTCTATAATGAAGGCCATTTATCTACCAAAGGACTAGAAAGTTGAGAAAAGCTGTGTATGTAAATCCTGTAGGTGTCTGAAACTGCTGCTATTAACCACAGACAGTGCTGGACTACAACTTGGAAATAAATCAGTATAGATTTAGCAATGTATTTCTAGTGGGATTTTTCATTCAGCTCATTTCTTATGTAAACAAATTTTACTCTAAGAAGTAGTTCAGCACTCTAAATAGTCTGATGGGGGGAAATTTTGACAAGTTGTGATTGTGTGAAAATAGGAAACCAGAATGGAAGTTCTCTGCCCTTGACTTGCTGACAGTTCAGGTAAGTCTAAACTTTGTATCCCTACCTCAGTTCTGTTTGCACAACGTACTTTTCAAAAACATTTTTTCAAAAACATTATTTACAATTTATTTTCTATAATTTGTGATAATTATCATGTACATATCGGATAAATACAGCAAAGGACAAAGACACACACAATTCTAATTCAATACCAGTGGCTGAGCAAGCTATTACAAGTTATCCCACCCAAGTCTTTAAAAGGTATTTGAGCAGTTAGCCAACAGCCTGTTTCAATAGCTGTCAGGCACTCATGTATCTTAAAGACTGTGATTGTGAATTTAGGTAGCACTAATTTCTTTTAAGCTAGTTTCTTCCGGCTAAACAAATAATGAAGAGCTAAATTGCACCAAAGAGCATTCGAGCTAATGAAAACCATGCCTTTGGTTATTTTCTCTGGACTTTAATTCCATTTGAAGTTTGTTTTTATTCTCATTACATAAGTCATGGTTATAAAGTTAGAAGAGGCCATTAGATTATTTAGTTCGAGCTTCTGTATAATGTAAGTTCTTAATGTCACCTCATTATTTACATGTTTACCTTGTAACTTCTGTATAACGAAAGCGCAAATAGGATGTATAATGCATATAGTGTTTTTCTGTAAAAGTATAAAGAATCCTTCATCTCAATTTTGTGGCATCACTTTATTTGAAGATCACAGTGGAATTTTAAGTTTGCATTTTAAACAATTCTGGCAGTAGTAGAAAAAACACTCTTGGGTACATAGATTAATTGTCTAATTCCTAAATAGCTTAAATGCTAAGCCTGTAAAATAAATTATGTATAGCTTGAATTTAAAGGAACAAAGAATAATAGTTTTCCTTTGGGAAATAGCTTTAACTTTAAAAGAAAATTATGGTTTTTATGTAACTCTCAGCTGGGAATGCATTTGTTAGCGGAATAGCTATTCAGTGTTTTGAAAATCTAGTTCTGCCTAAGCTACAGGCTCAATAAGAAGTCAGCATATAGCCAGTTTCCATTTAAGAACTAAGCCCCTAGTGCACCTTGCTTGGCTGGGTTAGAAAGAAATGACTGCAGACTAAGTTCTTGAAAAATGTGTCTTGAAAAATTAATGTGTGCAAGGTAGTTGTGTGCATTTTCTTCTCCCCTCCTCTCCCATGGGATATAAGATGCTGTACAGGCACCATCGTAGACACTGAAGCCTGACTTTTGTGTACCAGCTTTCCAGAGCTTCATTTATTTGTTTTTTATGCAGCAAAGCAGCTTTGTCCTGCTTTCCCGTTATTGTAGATTCATTTTCTCGTCACTCTAGGCTACACCATGGAAGAATAGTGAAGCTGCTGGTTTTGATCCATAGATCTTCGCTTAGATGTTGAAATTTTGTCCTCCCCCTGCTTGTAGACTTGGCAGCCTCAGTGCTGTGCTGTAGGCAGTCTTTTCGCAGGGTGTCTGTGCCAGGTTGCCTTCTCCTGACATACATCAGGTGCTCCTGTGTTATGAAGAATGTTGCCCTTCTTCCCTAACCTGGCCAGTAGGAAGGCAACCTCACCAGAGGGGCCTCCCCAGCCCTTTTCCTACCCCAGGAATGGTGTGACAACAGCTTTCTGCATAAAGGCATGAGTTACTCCTCAGGTGTATTCAGACTTTTCTGGACACACATACCTAAGGGTGCCTTTTCAAAGTACTGAGTTTCTAAACTCAAGGTTTCATTTGTGTAACACCACAATCTGTGCTGTTGTTGCTACTTGTGTACTTTGAAATAACATTTCTCAGGCTTCAGCCTTCCTCCCCTCCCCCCTCCCCATGCCAGTTTGACAATTAGGACATTCATTTAGGACTTGGGTGCTTTGCTCTGTTTTTCTGGGGTAGGGATGGGAGGGAGTTACCCTTTGTTGAGGTGAACTTTATTAACTTCAGGTGTTTGGTTAAGCCTCCCGCTCACTGTAGAGCTTTGTCTGCCTTCAAAGGAAGATCACCAAGATATTTGGACATGTGTCACAGAAGAAAACCATCAGATTTTGATGTTAGGACACTGATCATTTAATACAAAATCACAACGTTGAAAAGATCTGTATCCCATTACAAGGTAACAACAGTTCTGGGACCAACCTCTATCGTAGCATCTGCTTACATCTGTAGGGTTTTTTTTTTTCCCAGATAACACAGCTATCTCCTTCAAAGGGACAGTGAAGAATGAAGAAGAGGAAGGATCATGATTTTTTAACACCTGCCTCCTAAAAAGTGTGTGCATGTGTGTATATGCTATGCCATATGCATGACTCCAGAGTACTCAAAACTGTTCTCAAATCTTTTTAACTGTGAAACTCCAAAGAGGTATCCTAGGAACTTTTTGTGTTTTTTATACTGAGTATTTTCAGCTTTGGTTAGATTCTGCTAACTTTGAGGGTTTTATTGGCATTACTTACAGGCCAAGAACTATTCAGCTCTTAGAAAGAGCACTGATATTTGTCTTAAAGGTTTTCCTATGCATAGAAGGGAAAAATGGTGTTATTTCTATTGATTCACCTTCAGACCATGTAGTACATTCAAAGAGAAATAACTAAGTGAAGAGAAATTGCTAAGTGGCAGAAGAAAATAAGGAGTATGTTCCTGAGCCTCAGTCTGAAAGGTCACATACCTGGTGTCTTATGAATGTCAAGTCTGACAATGAAAAAGTGGTGTAAATAAACCAGTGCCTTTGCATTGCTGGTTGGTGAGTTCCCTCACTAGCTCTTGCTGTCCTTCCTGTCAGGATCTGTCACTGTGAGGGAGATGATGAAAGTCCCCTCATCACACCGTGTCGCTGCACAGGAACCCTGCGCTTTGTTCATCAGGCCTGTCTGCACCAGTGGATTAAGAGCTCAGACACACGCTGTTGTGAACTCTGCAAGTACGACTTTATAATGGAGACCAAGCTCAAACCTCTTCGGAAGGTATGGTGCTTTTGAATTTCATTATCATTGACTGTCAAATAGCCACAATGGCAATGCACATCACTGGACCAATTAAAGAAACATCTGCTTGTCCAAAATGGTTTTTTATTTGCTGTTGTTAATTCAGTCACAGTGATTTTATTTCTACATTTAAATTAGTTGATTTACAGCAGCAGAGGATTTTGCCTGAAGACTCTCTTTCAGAACACATGCAACGTAAGTGCACAAATAACATTTTTTAGTGTTCAGAATTTTTATCTTCAGCTTTTTCTTATTGGCTCATCTGCCTATTTTTAAGCCAGCAAGAAATCTTTCTCATGATGTTTTGCTCCTGGATAACACAGGCCAGTTCGCCCAGTAATTTTTACATTGAGCATATAACTTTTGCTTAAGAATGATATACCAGTGTGGAGACAGCAATTATGAAGTAACAACGTCAGTCAATTTAGCTGCATCTGTTCTAACTGTTACACTTGTGGGCAAATTAATCACTCGTACATCATTAAGGTTAGTTGATGGAATCTAAACTACAGGGTGACCTTACATCCTGAAAGTCAAATGTATATTATCTGTGCTCATCTGTTTTCCAGGATAAATCAACATAATGGTACATGGGTTGTCAGTATGGGGACAGTGAAGATGTTGTTAAATGTATGTGGGTTTTATTTTCTTTAAAGTGAATTATTTCTCCTTAATTTCTCTTTAAAAATGCTCTCATCATTTTGGGGTTTTGTTTTATCTTTAAAGCTTGAGTCAGTCTAAAACAGGGCAAGTTTTGATTTAGAATAAATTTCAATGTGAGAGCACTTGGAAAACATGTAGAAACTATTAGCTGATAGCTAGTATATGCTTACATAGTAATGTTTTGATAGCAAAAGACATTTTGGTTTTGTCAGCCTCGCACAGGTAGCAACAGTTCAGAGAAAGGAGAGCAAATGGAATTCCTTCTCATTTCCCATTCAGAGAAACTTTCTAGTCAGTTCCTGATGATAAACCACTTTTGAAGAGAGAATTAGGATTGATCTGAAAGCAAAGCTTGTGATAGGAAAGGGGACAGTTCTCAAGTGCCGAGTAGACCTTGCCAGGGAGACAGAAAATTGAAACAGATGTGAATAAAAAAACAATGGCTGAGAACTTAATTATATTGACTTAGGTTTTAGTAATTGCAGGCAAATTTTAACTAATGTGACAGGAAAGAGATAACTGTATAAAGTTCCCTGCCTGTAGCATGTTTCAGGATGATTTTTTTTCTGCAAACGGATTTCATTTCAGTGTTTTCTACAGTTCCATAAGAAACTAATTTTATTTTTTAAAAATAAATAAATAAAGGTCATTTCCATGGAAATGACCATTAGACCTGTATTGAAGTGTCATTGTAGAAGTGAAAGGGCCACATCTCTCAACCAGTTTTTGTTCTAATTTCTACTGTCTACTTACGATGTGAGATGCTAAAGTTTGGTTCTTTCCTGTGCATTGCTTCATTATGATGAATCGTACCATAATTCCTTTGCATCATTCCAATCACTGGTCTTGTGAGGGGAAAAAAAAAATACAGACCATAGAACTTAATTACATGTATCTATATTTTTGTTTTTGCAGTACCACAGAAGCAGAATTTAAATATAAACCAAACTATTTGATTCAACTGGTATATTACCATCTTTATTCATGCCTCAGCCTTTCTTGCACTCTCAATGTTTCCTAACAGATTTTTATCTAAAAGTCTCATAGCAAAAACATATCATAGCAAAAACATGTTTGAATATCGTGTCATACAGCTGTTAGCACCCATAAGTGACAATGTGCAGCATCCTGTTAGCATAAATCAAGATACCTTTACTAAATCAATAGGCTCGTGCCAATATGCTATGCTTATTTAATTACAGAATCCCTGAAAGCACCAGACATCAAATAAAACTTAGTTTAACCATGTTAGTGAGTCTCTGCATTGAAGTAATCCTTTTAAGCATTGATCAACAAGTGTTGCGTTTCATACATTTGAGCAGGTCTAATTACTTGGCTGAATATACATTTAGAAATTAAATATTAAGCATTGCTTAGTGTGTCTGTTTTATTTCTCATGGTCTCTGTTATGCCTGTCTATGGTTATAAGTGATATAGTTGCATTTATAGCTTTAGCTTTCAGCATTTGTGATCCATGATGCAGATTTTCTCATTTATAAAGTGACTTTATCATGGAAGGAGTTAGAAAGTGGCAAGAAGCTTGTGTGAGTTCCTTAGTGAGCTTTCTCAGGTAATAGCTTTATCCTGAGAAAATCACTTCTTCCTTAAAAAGGATGTAATCCTCGTAAAGTAGCATCTGCATTTCATATCTCTTGAATTTGGTGTTTGAAGCATAGTAGAAACAGGAACGGAATGAAAATACTGTGATTATGAAATGGATTAGTGTCAGATTGAAAGGTGTTCAAAATGCAGGAATGTCTTCAAATGGAGATTTCTCCATAGGGTCTCACTAAACTTCAAAATACTTTTTATGTTTAAATTTTGCTATCCAGTTAAGATGTCTGGTATCAATGAGATGTGTTACTTCAATCCCAGCAGATTATTCTGTGGTGCTGGATGTCTATTTTCTGTCCTGATTTTATTTAATATTTGAAATGATTTGCAGATAATAACCTTTTTTTTTTTTCGTGAGGCATTAGCAATATTCCACATTGTAACCATGTAGTTACTCTTGGTCATTAAGGAAAAGCAAGTTAGTTTTTTGTTTAGGGATGCATTATGTACCAGTTAAGGTTGATTTTCTGTCTGAATGAAAGGGTATATGAATTAATCCCTTTTAACATTGGGAGTGTTCTTTTAGAACAGAGTGATAAGCTTCTGTTACATGAAACAGAAGTAGAACCAGTGTTAAAATACTGATAAGGAAAGAAACTTAATCTTCTTTTTTATTTTGAATGTTTAGATATATCTTCTAAGTGTCTGTTCCTCTTGTATTCTGTATTTGTTTATATGCCAATAAACAGCACTTCTAAATGTGATATGAGGTGCCTCTCTTTGGGTTTTACACCCTTGAACTCTTTGGAACATCTCATGCACCCAGCTGCTGTCATAAGAGGAGAAGGAAGGAATGCTCTCTTTCCTCCTGGTATCATTAGTTTTATAAATAATCAAATAGTAGTAAGAGTGTTAAAATGTCCATGACAGCTTTAACTCCTTTAGAGGATTGAAAGGTTTAAGACCCAGTTGGAGATAGGTGGTTCAGAACTGCCCAGAGCAGGGTATTTAGGTTCTGGAGAGAAGTTTTGGAACATGCTAATTCAAATTTCCATGCAAAGCAAAACTCAGTTCAAGCATATCAGTGCCCCTTTGTGGTCAGATTAGTAATTAACTGGATAAATAAGTTTGGGAAAGGTTTCAACGGTTTGGTATAATGGTGATTGTATTATTAGATCAAAAGTAAATATTTCGGTTTACTGTAGTAGGTTAAAGATACTCTGTTTGCAACAAGACCATCAGAACAGTAGGAGCTGTGGATCCAATTAAGATGTATGGTTTGAGCCAACAGGCAGCTTGTGGGTAATGCCCAGCTGCAAGGCAGAGAAATCAGCAATTCCACAGGCTCCTTAAAAAAATAAAATTGAATCACCCATGGAAGAAAGGGAAGAAATCAGAATGCTGCCATGAGAGCTTTGGTAGACAAAACAAGTGTCTTAATTAAATCTTTAAGTCCCATTTTTCTCCCAGACTTACTGTTTCACTTTGGAGCAGGGACACATCTGCTTCTGCTCTCCCTATTTGAGTCAAAACTGCATAGGGGGCTTTTTTTTACAAAACAGTTGTCACCTGAACCACTTGAAATCCAGTTGTTAGAGCTCTTGGCTAATGTGTGAGAGAGCCAGATTTAGCTCCCTCCTCTGTGCTCAACATAGCCCTATAAAAAGAATAAATCTTTAAGAATACAACTGCCTGGGGGAGTTCATTCATAACTGGGTGCTTTTTGGATAAATCTCTTTTTTTGATAAATCTGGTAGCATGCAGGATAAGTTAAGTGACAGCAAAATATGTTAAGAGTGTTGATTTATTTTTGATTCAGTGCTAGCTGGGTAATTCGTAATCTTATTGAAGAAGACGATGGTCACTGCCAAAAGTGATATAGCCTGCAGAGACATCTTCATGAAATCCTGCTATGAAATCAGAAGTGGTCGCCATTGGAAACCATTTCTCCTACCAAAGTAGACTCCCAGAACTAGAAGTGACCCATAGAGTCTCTCAGGAAAATAAAAAAGGGAACTTTGAGCACTCATTAATGTATTGCCTACTGCTCACTTCTTATTGCCCTATGCTGTGAAGTATGAACCATCTGGCTTTTTCATCAGTTTTCTAATAAGGCTCATGATAAGAAGCGATAGCTAGTATTGCATAGGTCAGATAACATTGACTTGCTATGGGATTCATTGCCTTGTAACCCAATTTGGTGGATACTTTGCAATCTTTAACATAGAAAAAGATCTTACATTTCCTTTTAACTTCTGGTGCAGCTACACAGTGTTGTCAAGGCAACCTGCTCTAGTGTTATCTTTTTTGCAGTAAACTGTCTCAAAACATTGCTAGCTGCAAATAATTTCTTGTAATATGTAGGGTCAGACACTTCACTTGTATGCACAAAGGCACACAGCTATTACTTTCTTATTGGCTATCATGTCATTATAGTGAATAACTTTGTGCTCAAGGGAGAATGTGTATATTAAAGCTTTTAAAGTAAAAATAATTCTATAGCATTTATATGCTTTTGTGATGCCTCAAGGATGCAAAGGACTACATTGTTCAGACAGTTGTATTCCCAATTTGTGAGAGTAATAGAGCTCTTCTGCTAATTTATCTGTATATAGACAGCATGTTGTAGTTTGCAGAGTAATGTTGTCCTGCATTTTGTGCCATAACAGGAATCGTAGATCTTAGCTTTCTTGTAATGGTAGAATGTGGGTTAGCTTTCAACCTCCATATTTCTTTTTCTTCCATCCAATACAGCTTTTATA